TCTCACCAAAATGATCCAAATTGTACTTGATTCGGCACCGAACAGGCTACAAAGAGACAAAGGTTATCCAGGGCGGTCGATCCACGTGAAAAAAAACTCGAGACCCTACTCTCAGCTGCTCCCTTCCGCTATCGCGTGAAAGAAGAAACTGATCATTCAGCAAAAATGCTGGCCCGAACGCGGCCACATGACCCAAAGGGCTGAACGACAGGACAGGGACGACCAACTACGCATAAGCGCAAGGCATTACGTCAGAGAGAGGACGATCGAAAAGAAGTTACCGAGATAGGAACAACCGAGCTAGACGACGGAGTGTTGCCCCTATCACAAAAGAATCATTCGTTGAAAACATTGCGCTTAACTTTGCTCAGATGTGGAAGTCAGGCTTTTTGAGATTGATCAGAAAGGATGAAACCTTCATCATACACAAACTGAGAAGAGATGTCCGCTTGCTTCATTGGAGATGGTGTGTAACGTTCGGTGAACGTTTGTTGTTGATTCCTTCACACCTACCGACACTTCACGACTCTCATTCCACATTTCAGACACTGCTTGGAGTATAAACTTCACCTGTATTTTCCTTGACATTTACGTCGGATCTGCTCAAAGACCTGTGGTACAATCTTGAATGTACGTTCGTATTGAATCATTGCTATGTATTAACCATTGACACTTCTATTCAATCAATAACCGTTGTTTATTTGTTGTTATTACAGAACCATACCGAATACAACGACAGTCTTCTCGACTTAACAAAAGACTTCGGGTGCGTATACTCAGATAGTATCTCAGCCGCATATCTTGCATCAATCACCTAGGTTCAAAGTGAAACCTAAATGGTGCACAAAGGGCTTAACGACTCTAGGTGAGTCAAACGTGAACCGAGACTCAAACAGAATGAAATGGGATTTTCTCATTAACACAGGCTATACACACGTCCCCAGGATATCCCTAAAGTCTTGATGATGGATAAACTCAACATATTCTGTGAGGAAGTATCTCTCGCAGGAGCGAAAATAGATTGTGTGACCGGTCTTCAGTACATAGAAGGTTTTTTGACAGAAGCGATTATTCACAGGGATAACTCCTCTCCCCAAAGCCATCACAGCGCCTCGAGGAACAAAGTACGGATTTCTCACCACGGACTTTCCGGTCAGTAAGTTCACGAGACATCAATGAGCCATCTAGAGCTCTGAAACGCTAGCTTCCAATGGCTCAAGGGGAACACTCGAGGCATTTTGAGACGGCTCGGATACCCGATACAAGGACCATGGCTGAAAGAGCTACCTTTATATCTCTCACTGTTCCTGCCTAAGTTCGGACAACCCGATCGTTCCTCGGTATTTCGGCTTCATTAAGATCAAACAAATGGGATTAATCAGATTGGAGATATTACAGAGACAAAAATTCGCCAAAGCTATCCTCTCCAGTGACAGTCTGACAACCTGTAGTTTTTTAAACGGAAATTCGCTAAGTTAGACTGACAATGAGTCGCAAAACCATCGTTGCACTGCACAACTGTTCAAACTGAATTGTTGTTAAGCGAACTGAGAACAGGCAATTCGATCCCAACTTGAAGGAGTTCACCCAATACCGGGATCCATAAGGCAGGAGGGAACAGAGGACACGGAGATATCTAAAGTTTTTGTATTATTATTAGTAGAATAGTAGTAGTAGTATTAGTATTAGTAGTGGTTGTATCGGTACTGAGAAACGTGCGATTAAAGCTATGTAACACCACACACGTGCGTGCGTGCATGTGTACGCTTACATACGCATGCACGCACGCGCACGCACACACACACACACGCACACACTGACAGAGAGATACATTGAAGATGTGGGGAAATCATGTGTAAGATGGTTCACTGTTGTACTGTTGCTGATATCCAAAAACAAGCCGCCTTCTCACACATCACAAATATCAAGCTGGTTCTGTTCTGGAGGAGCGCATGAGTGAGCGTCGTCCACAAAAATGGCATTATGGAGCATCTAGAAGAGCGTACGACGAATCGAGTGAACCACACACGTGGAGCACCGTTGTGCAGAATGAAATCCATGAGGTCCCAAATGGATGAATTGGATGGACGACAACTGTGGAAATCAGGAGGGACGAGCAAAATGAAGTGACAACCGAAGACAAGGGTCATTTGAAATGAGACAACCACGCAACAGAACAGCAGTTGACGTACGGTGAATGGTTGGAGAGTGTGGTAATGGGTTACCCAAGCACAAGTGAGATGGATAAACAGAAAAGAGACAGGTGGGTACGGCCCGAAGGATAGACTCACAAATACCGTCCGAGCAACAAGAGCCTCGTGACAACAGTAGCCGAAATGGGCGGTGAGGATTGAATATTGATGATTCCACTAAGTTCATCCAAGAGACGAAGGTACCAACCAGTCCCAGCCCGACATCCAAGCATCTTCTTGAATATCGTTCATGGTAGTTGAGAGTGACGGCGAAGCAATTAGAGTTTGTGGTTATGAGTGGGCGTGTGCGTGTTGGTGTAGGTACGTGCTCCTCGGAGACGAATAAAAGCGCTGATAGTTCGTTTCCGTGTTCTGCACACACACACACACACAAACAGCGTATGTGTGTGTTTATAGGTAGAAAAGAAACCGGTAGGTGCGCAAGAAAATAGAGGACAAGAAATAACCCTGCACTGGGATCGTGGTATCTAGTTCAAAACATGAGTAGGGGGAGAGGGAAACGTCATCAGGCTTGTCAATGTCGGATCGTGGCCTGTTGATTTCATTTTATAAAAATAGGGCAAAAACACTAGTACAATAGTGGTGGTAATGGCACCAATAGAAAACCGCACACACACACACAGTAGACAACAAAAGACAGCACAACAACAAGAACAAAAACGATAACGGTCTATGAAGGAAGTGTGTTTTGTTTTAATGAAGTGCATTGCCGTGAGATGAAGCTGGCGACTGGAGCGGCCAAAATGTTTGAACATCAATGCGGAGGATATAATAGGAACAGGGTTTTTCATTATCGGGTATCTCGGATCTTGATGTGACCTAGTGCAGCGCGTAATGGAAATTATTTGTGTTTGCCTCTGGTTGTAAATAAAGTTGCAACGGAGTACATAAAATGCCTGATGTCAGGGACAGACGGGGGGAATCGGGATCGGGAGGTGGAGGATGAGACCGAAAGGAAAACCAGTAAAAAGACGATTAGTGATAAGAACGGAAACACTTCAATCGTGCAACAGAAGAATGCGGCCGCGACGGGAAAAGCGGGCACTCAGCGAAGTGGTAGTCCATGAAGCAGCAAAAACAAAAGGGAGTAGACCCAAGCCACACAGTGCGTGGTCACAAAATAGTGCACATTCGATTCGGTAGGCTTGCTATGAAAAAAAGGAACATCACCGAGAGCTACAGAGTTTTAGGGCTCCCAAGGGAGGAACTCGATACTCCAAAAAAAACGGATGACGAGCAAAAATAGGGATGGAAATGGGCTACAACAGAAAAAAAACAGGTGAACGTTCATGTATACGTGCCCCGAGAACAAGCGATGCAGGCTAATAATGATAACCGGGGACTATTTGTCGGGCACTGACGTGGGAGAGAGAGAGAGGAATAATAACATGGGGGGCTTTGTTGAAGGCCGCTGACCAGTAGACACGGATTGCCATCTAACTGTGAGGGCACATGGAGAGTGTGGGGATTGAAAAGGAAACGGGGAAATTTCAAATGCCACTCGGGAATATGATTATGTGATCAAACCGAAAAACGCAAATCGACAAAACCCGATTCTCATGTCGGAAACTGTCGTCCATCGGGAATATAGAAAAATAAATTGTGCACCTAAGGGGATAAATGAAGGTCAGTAGTATTTCTCTATTATCCACCAAGACACGAAGACATTGTTGGTGTTGTTTCTCGCTTTGCACATCCGTGGACAAACAGGAAGGTACACATGCGTGCGGGAGGAGTGTTCGACGGTGTTGATGGAGAGGAACCGGAGAGAAATGTTAGCAATGGCTGGGCACTCGGAAGGGGCTGCAGTTCCCAGCGTACAGAAGCATTGGGACAGACAAGTAACTGACAAAAGCCGAACAAAATTTGTCAGGGTGTAGAAATACACGAACAAACAGCAAACGATATCTGAGTAGCGACCATCCACTGCTTGCTGAAGACCATTGGACAGTTGTCAGGGAAGACAATCTAGGAGTGCTAATGTTGGTCTCGACTGGATGACTGGGGTGTCTGAAGATGGTTTTGGGAGAGCCCCTGAGAGGCAACAGACGTGCAGTGCGCCTGTTATTGGCTGTGGAACGAGTGGTTTGAGGGGCGGCGACAAGTGAATGGATGCAGCAGCGCACAAAATGAGCGAAACGGAGAATGTAAGATACACACACACACAGACGTCGAGCGAGCGATCTGAAAAGCTCATATGTGTGGGCGGTGTAGAACAAAAGGCAACAGTATCGTAGTCTGCAAGATGGAGTAGCTTGGTTGGTTCGTTGAACAGTGCAAAAATAGATCAATGTTCGTCCAGCCAGATCGGTATAAACAATGAACCTGGGTTCACCAGAACAGTCACCAGTAAAAAGGAAGAAAACAAACATTGCAACGGTATCGACGATCCAGAGAGATAGTACCGCATAGTAATATTGATACTGATATTAGTAAAACGTTTGTGAGGCTTGTACGACAATGGGTGGAAAGGAGAGATAGGAACAGTGGCAGTTTGACCGTTCTAGTTGAAAAGGAATCACGGAAAATAACAGCATAACTCAGGAACGAACGATCCGTTTTATTCACGATTCTTTTAGGCTCTAATTATGATTGTTGTGTTTCATTCTGCGGACGGGGGGAGGTGTATTAACAATTGAGTAGTTGATGGTCGTGAAACTCGGGAACATCTGAAAAATCTCTGTGAACTCTAGGCAACCTCAGTGACAGATGTGATAGCAGGCGGGACTGAGAGGGATTGTTGCATTGAGTCGAGCTCAGATTGCGGACTTTGACGCCGTCGACGACGCCCATCACCTATAGCTCCACAACGTGCAGAAGAATTATCACTGGGTGAACAGCCAGTAGAACCGACCAACTGGAAATTCATGGAGAAACAAGCATCGGATTTGGGTAACATTTGCTCCTCTTCCTGTATGTCAACTAAGGCCGCGGTAGAATCGAAGTAGGGGAAAGTGAATGAAGAGCCTTCATCGGACACCGTAATCATTGTCTGATTTGATGACGAACTGACGACATCTGACTGGAGTCCGGATTTCTGGGACCAAATGGCATTTAAACGGGCTGCCGTCGATGTCTTGGGATCGGTCTCATCCGATTGAACACCAACATTGTCATTGTCACTGAACAGGGAGCGAAGTAGGGATTGTTTCGAAAATGAGCTTGGACCGCTGTAGTCTCGAGACGCCTGCGATGGAGGCAGAAATAAGGACCCGGAACTGGCGTCGTTATTCGACCACGGACCACCCACAGAGTTCACGATCTTCTCACTCAGATCAATATCAGCAACGACAGTTTTCACCGGAGAGAGCCCATGTTCTATCGCACCCGAGGGGTAGTTTTGTAACGGTTCGAAACCAGGAGGACAATGACCCATCGTCACACCATTTTCCGGAGTGTTATCAACCCCCGAATTGAGACACAGCTGGTCCAGCGCGCGTAGAAAGTCGAACCCCCCGGGGGAATTATAGGGACTGGAGGCCTGCTCCGAAAGTTGACCAGACGTCTCTTGGTTTCCCAAGCCAAGACGATTAGTAGCAGTAGCTAGCTGATTGGATAACTGACGACCCACACCCACACCCGGACGTGTGGTCAAATCACCCAAAATATTTGCAGAACTGACAACCCAATCACTATGACGGCGAGTTAATGGCTGATGAAGTAAGTCGGACGGTTGTTGGTACTGACTGTGTTGTTGTTGTTGTTGTTGATGCTGGTGATAGTGTTGCGATCGGTAGTGCATCAGCAGTGTGGGACTCAGATCACCGACAGAGCCGAAACCAGCACAGTTAGTTGTCCCGGTTAGGTCGTTGAAATTGAATACATTGGACTCGTCAAACGTGTGCTTCGATCCGGTGAAGCCACTATTGTGAGTAGTCAAGCTAATCTGCTTACGCAATAGCCCATTCATGCTGTCGGTTCCACTGAGTGGAGGTGGTGGAGACGAAGTGAAGATGGCGTTGAGTGTTGAGGAGGAACTTATCAGATTCTGTAGATGACCGGTAGCGTCTGTTGTGTGGGTGGGATTGTGACTGTTGCCGCTGGTATTGTTCACCATACTCGACAGCGGGTTCCATATATCCGCGTTCATATTAGAAGGCCCAGGTGCACGAGAGAATGTTGACATCAGATCATTCTGATCGTGTAGATTAAAACCTGTGGAACCGGAAACAGGGATTGCAAAGCGAGATTAGAGGAACGAAAATACTAGGGGGCAAAGCGTTTGCCCGTACACAGCAGACTAGATGAACGTCACAATGAATCAGTGAACATCAGCTGAACTGTGGAAAAAGCGAGCCCCAAAAGAGGAAACAGGAAAATGAACCAAACCAGCCGAGTGCTCCAAAATTATCTACCCAGGGCCAATAAGCCGATCGATGGCCATTAAGCGAATTCAAGTGTCGGTTAACCCAACCACTCATCAAATGCCCGTGGTCGAACCGTTCACTGTTCAGAGTGTTCATCGGGAGGTCAGAAATTTAGAACTTCCTGAAGTTTCGTGAGGCGCGGAATGCCGATGAAACAGCTGT